GCTTGTAGTGCTCAGTTGTGTGCCGATCTGCCCCTGCGTCTGGTCTTCTGAGTCGGTTGACGTCTCCATGTAAAGAACACCCCTGCGCCGCTCTCTTTTCGTTTGCTCTCCCCTTCCCTTTCAGCACACATACGCTTCATTGTTCGTCCTCATTGCCATCGCCATGGGCTTCCACCGTGTGTAGACAGACACGTATTGCGATTTATCCCCCTCAGAATAGTGCCCTCGGAGTCCGCCCTCACTTGTTGCAACGGGGGTTCTCCTTGTCCCTCTTTCTGCTCATCTGTTGCAAGTGATCTGTGTGGCGATCTGTCTGCGCAGGTAGCTTCTTTCATGTACATCGGCGCTCACGGTGCGGAGTTGCACCCGGGGCACCCCGCGGTTCACCAGACTGCGCTCTGGCGCCAGCCGAAGAGGAAGCCGTGGGGCCGCACGGGAAGTCATCCCGGATCTCCAGTTGCTTGCGGCACATGTTGCGCCACCGTGACAGCGCAATAGCGCAGCAGGAAAGATGTTCAGTTTTGCTCCAGTTCATACGGAGCGCTGAACTGAAGCGGGCCTGAAACATTTCTTGCTCGACCACAGCTTTGTTTTCCAGTTCTTTCTTCATCGCTCCTCCTACTCGTATTCCTTCTCCTCCCTCCTCCCACTAGAATGCATACCGGAGGCTTTTTTGGGCCGATGCTTTTTGAGGACCTCATGGGAGCCTCTTCGGGCAGTCTCGTGGGCCACTGGGTCGGTTGGGGGTTTCTCGGGGCGTCTTGGAGGTCCAGAGGGGGCCTCTTGGGGCCCACTCCGGGGGCCTCTCAGGGGCATGTTGGGGGTCTTGGGGGCCATCTTGGAGGGAACGTCTCCCAAGGCAGCTTCGAGCTCCCCCTCTTTGGCCACCATTGGGGCCCCCTTGGGGCCCGAGTGTGGGCCTCTTGGGCCATCTTGAGGCCCTCTTGGGCCGTCTCGTGGCCATCTTGCAGGCTTGTTGCGACCAATGGAGCCGCTTCGTGGGCCTCTCGTGGGCTTCTTGCACCGTCTTGGGGCGACACCCAGGGGTTTCTTGGGCCGTCTAGGGCGTTCCGGAGCCCGAGAGGGCGAGCATGTCCAAATCCTCCAAAGTCTCGGGGAGCATCAGCGACTTCTGACTCTTGAAGGTCTCGTGTGCGTTCGCTTTCAGCCCTCGCCGAGCGAATTGGGGGCATCCTGTGTTGTCTCGCAGCAATGTTGGGTCATCCTGGGGCCCTCTGGGGCCACGTCGGGGCTCGTTGAGCCGTCTTTAGGTTGACATGGGCCGTCTTGCAGCCTTCCCGACGCGTCCTTTGGTTGTCTTGGAGCCGCCCGCAGGCCGAAAAGGGCATCGGAGGGCAACACGAGGGGGGACGTTATTCTGAGCACACGCCCACAAGGGGTTGGCCCTGGAAGGCACTGAAGAAACCCCGTCTGGTCGACAGGCAAGCATCCTGACACGCCTCAACGTGCTGAATGTACGGTGGCGGATGCAGCATGACGAGGTTGTCTACCGTATGGGCTTGCGTTGCGTATTCATCCATATGAGACGCTGCATCATTTGTTTGGTGAACACGCGGGGGGGAGAAGCAACGGGGAATTGTGTACTTTGAGGTAGTCGGGGGAGTGCTACGTACTCGCGCCTGCCCCTCTGCAGGACTCGCAGGGCTGCGAACCGTGGAGAGATGGTGCTATCGGGATGGAATCGCTGTCCGCTGCCCACTTGCCTCTCAACATGTTCGGCTGTCTTACCTATCATCAGCTTCCCTGTTCTCTTCGCGCGTGCTCAGACAACTCCGTGCCCACCTGCCCCCTTACTCTCACACTCCTCCGCGGTCCCAATAGCCAGCGCAGGTGGTCAGTATGCTCTTCCTCCTCCTCCTCCTCCTCCTCCTCCTCTCCGCCTCCCCTCCACACACGCTCGTACAGTTGTGCGCTTAGTTGCCTCGATACGCCCGCTTTGAGACGCAACATGCACAGTGCTGGAAACGTCCGTGACGATGTGTGGCGTGTTGGCTCACCACCCACCAAACCACCCCAACCCAACCCGAAGGCCTCAATTTGCCCTCAATTTCCAGTGGGGGGGGGGGCGCGGAACATTGAAAAACACATATGGAACCCGTACCCCCCCCCAACCCGAAATTCGAGTCTTCGGATTGGGTTGGGGTTGTCCGGTAGGTAGTCATTGGCTCAGCGCATCGGACCACGCTTTGGCGAACGTATCGCGTCAGACCTACGTCCTTAGGCCACGTGTTGAGCTCCGTAATCCGTACGCTGCGTGTCGCGTGCTGCGCATCGGGGCAGCGGAGGTCAATGTGGCTTCCATGCCACCTCGCTCGTGCCCGTTCCTGTCACTGCCTGCGCTCCTGACAGAAACTCCCCGCGTTTGGAAGGAGGAGGAGGAGGATCAGGAGGAGGAGGAGGAGGAGGAAGAGGACACGGGAGGATGAGAAGGAGCAGGAGGAGGAGGAGGAGGAGAATAAGGAGCGCAAGGCCTTCTCCGATCGTGCTTCGTCCCCCCTCGCCTGCCCAAGCCGCGCTGTGCCACCGCCCTCGGGGTCGGCACGAGCGGCCGCGCCTGTGGGCACGAGCAGGGGCGCACGCCGCTTGGGAGCCGAGTCCGCGGCTCGCGCCGCGCAGCGGCTGTGCTCTGCCCGGCGTGCCCGCTGGAGTTGCATGTTGGGGGCGTCGCGTAACAGGAGGGGTGGCGATTAGCTTTGGGGGCCGCGAGGGCTGCGGACAAGGGGCCCTGCAGGGCCCCGAAAGGGGCGTCGCGTAATTCATTCAGAACAGGACTATCCCGGCAAAGTAACCTAACAGCGATGTGTATAAGCATATCTGGAAGCATTCCCTTTAAGATTCTGGTGAGAATCCAGTTGTAGAATTCTGCTGTTCTCGCAGTCGCAGTCACATTCGCAATGACAGTCGCAGTGGCAACGGCCTTAGGATCCAATGGAATCCTAAGGATTCCTATGGATTCCTAAGGCATCCTTAGACATCCTTAGGAATCCATCGGGATCCTTACGAAACCTTAGGAATCCTTAGGAATCCTGATTCCTAGGGGTTCCTAAGGATTACTGAGGAATCCTAAGGATTCCTAAGGATTCCTGAGGATGCTTAACTATGCCTACGGAATCCTAAGGATGCTTACGGATTCCTAAGGGTTCCAATGGATTCCTAAGGATTCCTATGGATTCCTACGGATGCCTCAGCCTGCATCAGTTTCAGCCTCAGCCTCAGCCTGCCTCGGCTTGCCTCAGCCTCAGCCTCAGCCTGCCTCGGCCTCAGCCTCAGCCTGCCTCAGCCTCAGCCTCAGCCTGCCTCGGCCTCAGCCTGCGTCAGCCTCAGCCTCAGCCTGCCTCAGCCTCAGCCTGCCTCAGCCTCAGCCTCAGCCTCAGCCTGCCTCGGCTTGCCTCAGCCTCAGCCTCAGCCTGCCTCAGCCTCAGCCAGCCTCGGCCTCAGCCTGGCTCAGCCTCGCCTGCCTCAGCCTCAGCCTCAGCCTCAGCCTCAGCCTCAGCCTCAGCCTCAGTCTCAGCCTCAGCCTGTCTCGGCCTGAGCCTGCCTCGGCCTCAGCCTCAGACTGCCTCAGCCTCAGCCTGCCTCAGCCTCAGCCTCAGCCTTGTCTCAGCTCAAAGCCTTGCCTCAAGCATCTGCCTCCGCATGCCTCTGCCGGCCTCGCCTCAGCTCCAGGCTCGAATGTCCAAATCTTCGATGTGCTCCTCCTCTGCCTCAGCTCTCAAGCCTCAGCTGCCTCTCCCTCATCCTACAGCCTGCGCCTCGCTCAGCCTGCATCAGCCTCGCAATCAGCTGCCTCAGCCGCAGCTTGCCTCAGCCTCAGCCAGCCTCAGCCTCAGCTGCCTCAGCTTCCTGCCTCAGCATCAGCTCTCAGCCTGCCTCGGCTTGACTCAGCCTCAGCCTCAGGCCTGCCTCGGCCTCAGCCTCAGCCTCTGCCTGCCTCAGCCTCAGCGTCAGCCTCTCCAGCCTAGCTGGCATCAGCCCAGCTCAGCCTCAGCCTAGCCTGCCTCAGCCTCAGTCTCAGCCTGCCTCAGCTCAGCCTGCATCACCTTCGCCCTCAGCCTGCCTCGGCTCAAGGTCAGCCTCAGCCTCAGCCTGCCTCAGCCTCAGCCTGCCTCAGCCTCAGCCTCAGCCTCAGCCTGCCTCGGCGTGCCTCAGCCTCAGCCTCAGCCTGCCTCGGCCTCAGCCTGCGTCGGCCTCAGCCTGGCTCAGCTCGGGCATCCAAAATATGGCACAGGACTGGTTTTCTGGGAATACGAAAACACGAAGTGGCCCACAGTTGGCTCCAGGCATTCAAAATGTAGTACAGGAATTGTGTTCTGGGAACACGAAGAACACGAAGTGGCTTACAGTTGGCTCCAGGCATTCAAAATGTGGTGCAGGAATGGTGTTCTGGGAGCACGAAGAGCACGAAGTGGCCTACAGTTGGCTCCGGGCATTCAAAATGTGGCCTGGGAGTTGTGTTCTGGGAAGACGAAGAACACGAAGTGGCCTACAGTTGGCTCCGGGCATTCAAAATGTGGCCTGGGAATGGTGATCTGGGAGCACGAAGAACACGAAGTGGCCTACAGTTAGCTCCGGGCATTCAAAATGTGGCCTGGGAATGGTGTTCTGTTGGCTCCTGGCAGTCAAAATGTTGCTCCTGGCAGTCAAAATAGGGAGTCCCCGGATTCCCGCGGCACCCGTCCGGCATCTGCCCAGACCCCCGTGGGGAGTCATGATGGTTTCTTTTGAGACCACTAGAAACCTATCAGTCTTCGCTGTTAGGTAGAAATTATCCCGGCAAAGCAACCTAACAGCCATGTGTAGGAGCCGGCCGGGGCAGCCGGCCGCCCTCCCCTCCTGCTCGTCCTCCTCCTCCTCCTCCTGCTCGTCCTCGTGCTCCTCCTGCTCGTCCTCTTTCTCCTGCTCCTCCTCCTCCTCCTCCTCCTCCTCCTCCTCCTCATTTTTCTCCTGCTCCTCCTCCTCCTCCTCCTCCTCCTCCTCCTCCTCCTCTTCCTCCTGCTCGTCCTCGTTCTCGTCCTCCTCGCTCTCTCCTCCTCCTCCTCCTCCTCCTCCTCCTCCTCCTGGTGGTCCTCGTTCTCCTTCTCCTGGTGCTCTCCCCCCCCTCCTCCTCCTGTCCTCCTCTCCTTCCTCAGTCCTCCTCCTCCCTCTTCCTCCTCCTCCTTCCTTCCCCCTCCCCTCTCCTCCTCCTCCTCCTCTTCCTGGTTCGCCTCGTTCTCGTCCTCGTCGTCTTTGCTCGTCCTCCTCCTCCTCCTGGTGTTCTCTCCCTCGGCAACCTCCTCTCCTGTGCTCATCTCCAACGTCCTCTTCTCCTGAACACCTCCCTCCTTGGTGGTCCTCCTTCCTCCTCCTACCTGGGTGCTCTCCCCCCCCCTCCTCCTCCTCTCCTCAGTCCTTCTCCTCCTCCCTCCTTCCTCTTCTCCTCCTCCTTTCCTCCCTCCTCCCTTCATTCCTCCTCCTCCTCGTCCTCCTCCTCATCCTCCTCTCCTCCTATTAGTAGTAGTGGGCGAGTCGGTGAAAACTCCTAACTCGTTCCTTGGTTAGTGTTCCCCCTCCCGTTCCTCCTCTCCTCCTCTTCCTTGGTCGTCCTCCCCCGGTCGTCTCCTCCTCCTGCTCGTCCTCCTCCTCCTCCTGCTCGTCCTTCTTCTCCTGCTTCTCCTGCTCCTCGTCCTGCTCCTGCTCGTCCTCGTCCTCCTGGTCTTGCTCGTCCTCCCCCTCGTCGTGCTCTTGCCCCTGCTGAAAATGTGGCCCAGGAATGGGAGTTCTGGGAAGTCGAAGAGCACGAAGTTGCCTACAGTTGGCTACGGGCATTCAAAATGTGGCCCGGGAATGGAGTTCTGGGAACTCGAAGAGCACGAAGTGGCCTACAGTTGGCTCCGGGCATTCAAAATGTGGCCCGGGAATGGAGTTCTGGGAACTCGAAGAGCACGAAGTGGCCTACAGTTGGCTCCGGGCATTCAAAATGTGGCCCGGGAATGGAGTTCTGGGGACTCGAAGAGCACGAAGTGGCCTACAGTTGGCTCCGGGCATTCAAAATGTGGCCCGGGAATGGAGTTCTGGGAAGTCGAAGAGCACGAAGTGGCCTACAGTTGGCTCCGGGCATTCAGAATGTGGCCCGGGAATGGAGTTCTGGGAGGTCGAAGAGCACGAAGTGTGTGACTGTTTGCTTAAAACGACTTCTGCGGCACCCTGTCCGGCACCCGCCCAGACCCCCCTGTGGAGTCATCTGCTGCTCTCTTTTGAGACCACTAGAAACCTATCAGTCTACGCTGTTAGGTAAATACCCATACTGCTACACTCGCCTCGTTTTCCCCTTTTTGGGCTTCCTGGGAGACCCTCGTCGCCATCGCTGGATTTGCGTTGAAATTCTGGCCAGAACGCACCCCAGGAGAGACTTGGAGAACCGCAGTATCGGTATCTTTGGGTCTCCCCAGCGTTGGGGGGGGGGCGATAACTTTGTGGACCGTGAGGGCCGCAGAAAAAAGAGGCCCTCCGAGGCCCCGAGAGGGGCCCTTCAGGGTCCAGAAGGGGGGCCTCCAGGACCCGAAGCGTGCGCCTGTCTTTCGTCCCCCCCGTCCCCTCGATTGTGATTGATCGCCGCCCCATCAAGCGACGCCCAAGAATGCTCGCTGTGGTGGCCCCGGGGCCCACACAACGGGTCTGTTCGACTGGTCCGGACCCTGGCATCGACTCAAGTTCGATGCGAGTTCAATTCAAGTCAGCGGACGTTCGACGCAGCACCGACGCGCGTTTGGAGCGAATGGCTCCAGGAGGGTCCCAGAACGACCATGTGACATGAGGCAGGAGATTTCTTGGGCACCCCGACAATTGACTCCCCCCCCTCCTCTGGTGGCAGACTGCTGCGTGCATGCACCCTCCCCGACCCGCACCCCCCCCCCCTTGAACAGAACCCGTGGAGCTGCGCTCCCGAGGCCACGACCCCTCGTTGGACAAACAGTGTGTCCGCAAGACGGCCCAGGCCGGCAACCAAGACAACCATCGGGGGCGGCAAAGAGGGGGGTGATGACTACGGGGGGTGGATATCATGGCGTGGGCCATGATATTTCCCCAGATTTCATGGCGCCTCTTCTTATTTCATTACGTCCCTGGCCCCCCCGCTGGGCCGCGCACATGCCGCCGGTCATGATTTGCACCCCCCCTCTTGGACACCCCCCTCTTGGCCGCTCCCGAAACCAACATGGCTCAGGATGCCACGAAGACGGGCCAGGATGGCCCCATGGCTTATGATGCTCCAACCTACTTTAGCCTCGACCACCAGAAATAATTTCGAGCGCCAAAACAAATACCGAAGCTCAGGGGTCTTCACGTGTCGGGCCTCGGGAGACACTCGCCCGACACTGTTTCGACACTGTTTCGACACTCTTTTGGCACTTTTCCGGGTGCTCGAACTTATTTTTCTGGGATGCGGTCCTCAAGTGGGATGGGAACAACATAACCAAAGGCGGCCCCATGGGGCTTCCAAGGCGGCCCAGGAGGCCTCCCAGAGAGCCCCAATGGGGGCCACGAGAGGACGGGCGCGGCGCGAGGCGCGCTGTCGACGCGCGGGGGGCCCGCCTCCCCGGGACGCATGGGCGTGGAGGAGACCGGTGAAGGAAGGCCTTCTCGTGGGCCCGCTTCCCGCCCTCCTCCTCCTCCTCCTCCTCCTCCTCCTCCTCCTCCTCCTCCTCCTCCTCCTCCTGGGAGCCTTGAGACGGGGGTCAATGCAAACGGGGGTCAGCCAGGGCGCCAGGTCCTGCAGGATCCTGCGAAGACCCCCTCTGGCTGACCCGGGTTGGCGAGCCGCTCGTGGCCGCGAGGCGGCCGCGCGTATTGGCCGACCCGGGTCTGCGAAGACCTGCGTTGCAGTTTTTGTGTTCCTGCATTGCAGTTTTTGGTTTCCTGCTGACCCGGGTCTGGATTGACCCGGGTCAGAAGATCCCCGAGCAAGAAGAGCTGCGGAGCCACTCCGCGCGACTCCCCTCCTCAACAGCGCGACGTCTACACAACGTGATCGTCCTTTCTCCTCTCTCTCTCTCTCTCCTCCCTCTCCTCTTCCCGCGTCCGCCTCCCGCGTCCCTCCTGCCGCAACTGTACACTGTCGGTGTGTTCTTCAGGCCACGATCCTTAGCACAAGTTTGCGTGTTGCAGGTCAGCATGTGTGTTGTTACCAGTGTTCTTAGCGGCCTTGTGATTCGCAATGCGGTTGTGTCACACGTGGTGGTTTGCGTGGAAAATATTTCCGCGACCCCCCTCCGCCCGGGCCGGAAAAAGCTTGAGCCCACACGGGAGGGTCCCAGAGCGGCCATCTGTCACGAGGCGGGAAACGGTCGCCGCGCGGATTGCTCGGTATCGCTCGGACTTGTGCATTTTGCTCGGCGAAGCCAGGAGCTCTGGACACTCTAGGGTCACTGGCGGCGAACATATCCGTACAGTCGGCCCGGATTAGAAGGTCGACCCTGCCAGATCAAGGATACCCTTTTGTCCTGTGGTTCGCGACCCACGCTGTCTACATTCCTACGGCGATGTGGCCCTCGAAAGGTTCTTGTGTCCTCTCGCGTGTCCTCTGCAATCGAGCCCGACTGTATCCGCGCCCTCCCAGTCTGCATGCCGGGGCGCGATCCTGCGGATGCAGGGTCGCAACGGACACGTCCCGCGCGGGGCATCCGCGAAAGAACGCCCCCGTGCCCGCGGGGTCGCGACCCAGTGGCGCGGCCCGCGAGGCCGCGGACGTGGAGGTGCTTGTCGCATCTTGGATCATCTGGCGAGCGAGGGGGTGAGGTGAGAAGGAGATCGGCTTCTCTTGTGGAGGACGGTCAATGGAGAGGAAACATGTTGCCAAATAATTCCCAGATGTCTAAAACATGTGTTAAACATGCACAAACATGTTTAACACATGTTTAGAACATGTTTCCGACATGCTAAACACATTCTAAGTTCAAGGATAGGACTGTTAGGGTGTCCATTGTCGTGGCAGTCACAGGGCTTCTCAGACGGCGGCGGGGCTTCTCAGAAGCCCTCCAGCCTTCTGAGCAGTCTTCGGCGCCTTCGGGGCAGGCCGAGAGAACTCCTCGGAAGGCCTGGGGACTTCCGAACCTGCTGCGGAGGCCCGCCCCTTCTCACTTCCCCCCGGGGCTTGCCCACCCCCCCCCCCCCCCCCCCCCCCCCCCCAAAAGGGAACACCACCGAAGCACGAAGCAACCCACGGGAACTCGGCAACTGGGGCACATACATCACCAGTGGCGGGCGGTTTTTCAGTCCGAGGGCTTTTATTGAGGGCCGGGGACGACGTCGGGGTGGTGTGGTGTATACTCTTCCCCCCGCCTCCCTGGGGAGACAGCGACGGATCCCGTGTACACCAGGATCCGCTCTCCTGTGCGAGATCCGGTGTGAGGCCAAAAACACGGCCGTCGATGCATAGACTTCGGCTCCCTGGTGGAGGAGGAGGAGGAGGAGGAGGAGGAGGAGGAGGAGGAGGAGGAGGTTCCCTGGTGAAAGAGGAGGAGGAGGAGGAGGAGGAGGAGGAGGAGGAGGAGGAGGAGGAGGAGGAGGAGGAGGCCAGACACAGGCGTCGGTGCAGAGCGCACCACCGAAGCACGACGCAAGCTCGCGGGAGCTGGTCGGCCGACCGGCGGCCGTGGGTGCACGCCGGCGCCCCCCGGCGCGCGCCGACAGGTGCAGGTGGCCGCGGACGGCCAGGCGCCGCCCAGAGCCGGCCTCGGGGGCCACGTGCTCGGCAGCGCTCGGACGTGTGCATTTTTCAAGCATTAAGTCGTGCACGTCCCCCTACAGGGGGATTTTGAGCGAAAAATCAAAAATACCTTAAACATACACCTAAAATATTCAAAAATAGTCTCAAAATAGTCCCCCGCCTATTTCTTGATTATTTTTTCATATTCCTCCTGTAGAGGGACAGGCCCGACATAATTCAAGCAGTGGCGAAGCGTCCTGGCTCTCCAATGTGCCCACCAAGCAATGTTCCAAGAACCTTCTGTGGTTTCCAGGAAGTGTTCACAGGACATGTCTGGCGGAGTCTGTCTTGTTTTCGCACATCGGGTTCATGCTCTAAGAACACTGCTGTTGTTCTTAGAACAGGTTGGGGTTCTAATAACATTTCGTGGTAGGACTATAGGGATGCCGGGACGGCCGGTCCCTGCTCAATGTTTTTCTCGGCGACGACCATCGAAGAGCATCCTGGATCATCGAGCAAGAGAAGCACGCACAACACCGGAAAAAAAAGGGAATGGATGTCCGAGCGACGGCACGCGTGGGTGAGAAGGGTGGCCGGCCTCCCCAGCTAAGTTTCAGGACGGGATCGAGCCCGAGGATCGAGGTTCGAGGATCCCGGAGCTCGGGAATCGAGGCTCGAGGATCTGGGAGCTCCAGGATATCGAGGCTCAAGGGCCGATCTCTGTTCCCAGCCGTCCTGTAGTGTTGGGTCCTCGTTTCGACGAGACAGCGCCCCGTGTCCCCCTCCTCTCCTCCTCCTCCGGCAGAGTACAGTCTTTGGGCTCATGGGCCCCTTCTGACATTCAGCCAAAACGTAGGCCCCGAAAGGGCAAAGGGAATGGTAGAGGTAGAGGCCAGACTTAAGTGCTGGGGCCTCTCCTTGATCTTTGTGGTGTGTCCTCGCCTGCCTCCGCCTTCCTGCTCCCTCTGTGTGCCTCCCTCTCCCTCCCTCTCGCTCCGTGTTGTGTGTGTGTGTGCGTGCGGGCTGGGACGTTTGACTTCTCACTCATGGGATCTAGTGCCACTGCGCACTACTCGGGATGATTTCGTTAGGCCTGTCGACCCTAACGGTTTCTATGGTGTTCCCCGATTAGAAATCTAGTCGCGACGGGAGTGCCGACTTTCAAGTTTCGCCAGGGGAGTTTCCCTCACTATGCGCACAGCGGTCAATTGCAATTGGATAATCAGTGCAGACTCGACCAGGGGCTGAGTACCACCACCACCACCTCCTCCTCCTCCTCCTCCCGCTACTCCCGCTCATCTCCCCTCCCATCCCTGCCTCCGCCCCCCGCGTGTCTGTTTAGGCGTCCCCCTTCACACGCTTCGTGGCCCCATAAGGAGCTTCACGGTAGGCCAAAATGCTAGCGCTCACATGGCATTACCGCCTTTATTTCGGCATACCACTCGCACGCTTCGTGGCCCGATAGGGAGCTCCACCGAATGTTCAGATGCCGCCGCTCGCATGACGCCACCGCTCCCAATTCGGCACGCCCCTCGCACGTTTCGTGGCCCCATGGTGAGCTTTACCGAAGGCCCACATGCCAGTGCTCGCATGGCGCCAGCGCGCCCATTTAGGCACACCCCTGACGAGGACCGTGGCCCCATAGGGAGCTCCACCGAGGGCCCCAGTGGCTACGCTGGCATGGCACCAGCGCTCCCAATTCGGCACGCCCCTCGCACGCTTCGTGGCCGCATGGTGGGCTTCACCGAATGCCCACATGCCAACGCTCGCATGGCACCGCCGCGTCCGTGGCGCCACACCCCTCACGCTGGTTGGCGCCAAAGGGGGCTCCACCGAGAGCCCCAGTGGCTGCGCTCGCATCACCACCGTGCCAATTTCGGCACACCCTGACGGGGATCTTGGCCCCATGGGGAGCTTCACCGAAGGCCCACATGCTAGCGCTCGCATGGCACCACCGCGCCCATGTCGGCACACCTCTCACCCGTTTCGTAGCTTCATGGGGAGCTCCACCGAGGGCCCAGATGCCAGCGCTCGCATGGCACCACCACACCCACGCCGGCACACCCCTCAAACGTTTCGTGGCGCCATAGGGAGCTCCACCGAGGGCCCAATTCGCTGCGCTCGAATGGCACCACCGCGCCCATGTCGGCACACCCCTCACAAGGATCGTGGCCCCACAGAGAGCTCCACCGAGGGCCCACATGCCAGCGCTCGCATGGCACCACCGCGCCCATTCCGGCACACCCCTCACACGCTTCGTGGCCCAATAGGGAATTCCACCGAGGGTCCAGTGGTTGCGCTCGCATGGTGCCACCGTGCCCATTTCGGCACACCCCTCACGAAGATCGCGGCCGCATAAGGAGCTCCACCGAGGGCCCTTGTGGCTGCGCTGCATGGCACCACAGCACCAATTTTGGAACTCCCCTCACGAAGATCGTGGCCCCACAGGGAGCTCCACCGAAGGCCCCAGCGGCTGCGCTCGCATGGCACCACCGCGCCCATGGCGGCACACCCCTCGCACGCTTCGTGGCCCCATAGGGAGCTCCCCCGAAAGCGGCGCCCACAACGCGGTATTCCTAGCTGCGCATGGTTCGATCCCTCGCCAGGACAATTTCTGAGCTGCTCGGCTTCCAGTTGACTTCCCGTGGCCACGGCTGGATCCGCCTCGAACTTTCTCAGGCAGAGCGCACCCCAGGAGTAGTCTCGGGATCGGACCGCGCGGCGCCAGGGCGAGACGGACACCCCGCCCGAGGGCCGAGGATGGCCAGACCCCCAGCTGGCTCGAGGCACCCAGGCCTCCGACGCATGGGCGAACGGCCCCAGCAAAGCACCCTAGCAGCAGCATAGGCGAAGAGGCGGGTCGAGGAGTTGGAGGTCAGCACGCGGAAGCGTGCATTCCTAGGGTGTGCCTAGGGGCTCCCAGGCGTGCCAGTGGTGCGAGCACGGCCATGTGCACCGTCGTGCGTGCGTTGTTTTTGCTGGGGAGCGTGGCCGTGGGCCAGGGGTGAGAACACGGCCACGTGCACCGTAGAGCGTTGTTGTTACAAGAGACTGTGGCCGTGCTGCAGGGGTGAGGGCACGGCCATGTGCACCGCCGTGTTTTGTTACAGAGATGTGTGGCTGTGCGCCAGGGGTGAGAACACGGCCATGTGCATCGTCGTGCCGTTTGGCAAGGGATCGCGGCCGGCTGGACCAAAAATTCATGCAGCCCGCATGGGGGGCGGAAGCACGATGCCCGAAGGAGTTGCGGGGAGGCTTTCGTCGACATCTCTGCCGGCACTGGGGCGGGCACGGGCGCCGAGTCCCCATGTGCAAGCAGGCAGTGGCGAAGCGTCCTGGCTCGCCGATGGGCCTACCAGACAATGTTCTAAGAACCTTCTGTGGTTTCCAGGAAATTCTCTTAGAATATTTCTGGCGGAGTCTGTCTTGTTCTATCACATCGGGTTTATGTTCTGAGAACATTGTTTTTGTGATTCGAACGCTTTGGGGGTTTAAGAACATCTCGTGGTAGTAATATAGGAATGCCGGGACGGTCGGTCCCTGCCCAACCTGTGGGACTTCGCCGTGATTGTATTGCACCATAGGAACCCGCTAAGGAAATGCGATTCGGGAAGGACATGTAAGAAAACGGATCGAGTGAAGGAGACATCGTCGCCGAGTGCGTATCATTCCTAGCAAAACGCCGACTCGCAAACGTCCGAAAAAAGAGGTCTCTTTTCATGGAATATATCGAAAATCCCCCGCGGCGGATCCAGGCCACGTGCGAGTAGTTGATCTGCGAGTAGTGGAACGCGCTTGTCCACATCGGGAGATTGATGGAAGTTCAGTCAACTCTGTGTGTGTTCTTTTCAAGTGTTTTTCCTTCTTTAAAGCATGTTTTCGCAACATGGGACGCATACAAAAAAGGTGTATTGTTAGGTGTTGCTATTTTTAAAATTTATTTGATAGAGGCAGGGGGGGACACTCCTTGCGTGCATGGCCGCCGCAGCTGCGAGTGAGAGAGGGAGAGGGCGGCGTGGCTGGCAGCCTGCGGGGCACCAAAAGGGCCCGCAGCTGGCACCACTTAATGCGTTTTCGCAAATAGACGGCGGTTGGGAAAAGAATAGACGGCGGAAAGGCCACCGAGCGACATGCGGGCGCAGGTGCCCGCATGTCGCTGGGGGTTGTTGTAAGCATAGTGGTACTTTCTGATCAATTCACATCACAGTTTTGTTTTTTCTTGTTGTTGAAGCGCTATTTTCCTCATCAGGGTTGCATTTTTGTTTCTGTTGTCACGCACATATAATCCTCCTTCCTCCTTCCCGTCCTCCTCCTTCTCCTCCCTGTCCGCCGCTGTTTGGTTTCTCCGTCAGAGCAACGTGGGTGAGTCGCGGGATGGGTCGCGGGATGGGTCGCGGGGGGGCCGTGGGGGCGAAGACGACAACTGCAACACTCATTGGAAGATCGGTCAGATGTGCACGCATGGCGATCAGGATGCACGCATCCCAAACCCTCGATATACCCGCGCTCTTCGTCTTCGAACGTGCCTTCTCTTAGGGGCAGATCTCCTTCACCAGCCACGCGTAATTGGCGCAGCCCTTAGAACAGAAAGAAGGAACAACAGAAAAAGGGGGCAGAGCGAGGTGGAACGACATGCCGGACGGGAGGGAGGAGAGAAGGGGCAAGGGAGAGGGAGAAGGATGCATGACAGGAGATATTTGCAGGAAGGGGGAAGAGCGAGAGGAGCAAGAAAACAAGAAACGGACCCAGGCGGGTGGGACGGGCGGACCCTACTGGGCGGGTCGGGCGGGCGGGCGGTCTGCGCTCGAACTTGCGACGTCGAAGTTTTGGGCACTTGCCTTTCGACACCATTCGAGCACGCATGGCCGCTTGAATTGTCATCCGACTTTTATCGGGATGCGTTGGCCATTGGTTCTGGCTCCAGGGCCCAGGGGCGGACAGGGGCGGATCAACTCTGCGCCTTTGTATTATGATGCAGCGCTGGATACTCCCTTCCTCCCCTCTCCACCCACCTTCCCCGACAATCTCTGCGGCCCGCCCGCCCGCCCTCACACTCTTTCGTGACTTTTGCTTCCTGAAGGTGTCGATGCCGAGGGTGCCTGCATTTGCTGTGGGCGTACGCTTTCCGTCGGCGCTACGACTGCTCCGTTGCACATCGTCCGTTTCCAGTTACAGTGGGCGTGTCAAACCAGGATTCGGCCCACCAGCAGGCGCCCCAAAGAGATGCCCTTCCCCGATGGCCATCTGCGAGCCCAGTAGCTTGGGGCACATTACGAGGCTTAGTATCGACTGGAGACGTACACTTCTTTTGGTCACAGTAGGATTTCTCACCGCAGGTATACATCGTACTCCAGAAGGCGTGTTGGCTTCGAGGTCCAAATGTTTGTTTGTTTTTAAAAGCTCTGCTCGTGGCATGGTTGCGACTATGATTTGCCCAGGGAGAGTGGATGACGAGCAGAACTAGAGCTGTTCAGACTCAGCCTTGTGCGATGCGTGCGCTCCGCTAGTCTAGAAGCGGGAACCCATCATTTACGTGCATAGAGCAGGTGTCAGTTGTCGACGCTTGGCCACTGGCTCGTGGCATTCGCAATGTGAGGTGTAGAAAGAGGAATGGGTGGACGAAACAGGTAGGCGATTATGAGTATGAGAAGGTGGAGAAGTACCAATCAGGAGTCCGCACAAGCACCTTGAGCTTCCGAGTCCCGTGTTCCCGCTGGCCTTGCCTAACACACGAGGTGCTCTCTGCGAACCAGAGCATGGAAATCTCCACCAAGCTGGAAGACATGACCTCGGAGTACATTGGCACGATTGGCGTGGACACCTTAGTCGCCTGCTTGATGGCAACTTCATATACTTTTGAAGCCCGCTTAGGACGAACATCCGTCTGCGTCAGTCTATCGTGGGTGTTCGTTCTTCCCCGTGTGCGTGCCCGAGCTCGCGATCGTTATGTTGTTCTGCCTACAGGCAATGACCATGCTCGCACATGCTCGAGTGCGCGTACGTTTACCTGAGTTCCGCGTGTAACGAGCGGACGTGTTCCCTTGCAACGTCGAGAAGGTGATTGCACACATGCGGGCGTACGTGTGTACACGGCCGCGTGCAAACACACGTCTGCCCGCGTACACGCGTACATATGTGAGAGCTTCTTCAGCAAGTGCGTATGCATAATTTGGTGCGTCATCATTAGAGATGTTATGCGCAAGCTGGCATCCCATGGTCGTTGTACTATGCTGGAGGGTGAATTGACCATGCGGGCTGAGGTTCTTCCTTGTTCGGGTGGGGGGTCTGCGATGTGTCGAGCGCGCTGGTGCCATCACCCTCAGATGTGGACGACACACAAGGACTTCGAGGGGTGACTGGGAAGAGCCCGCTCGCCATCCTACTGGCTACATACCCCCCCGCCCCATCGCGTCACCTCCCCCCTCTTCCCCCCTTACCTCGTCTCCATCCCCCTGCTCACACTCTTCCCCTCCGTTCCTCTCCCGCTCCCCCCTGGGCTCCCCCCCAAGCGCTCTCCACGTCCCCTCGCCTCCCCATTCCCGCCTCCCCCCCCCCCCTCCTCCTGCCCCCTCCTGCCCCTCCTCCCCCCCCCGTTGGCCCCCCCCCCTTCTACAATTACTAAATATGAATGCTACTCTCCCTCTTCCCCTGATGACGTCTTTTGCGCATTCGCCCCCCCCCGCGTATTGTTTTTGTTACACACACGATTCCCCCGAGTTGGGTTTTCGCCTGCGTTTTTTTTCAAAATGCTGCTCTCGCTGAGGCGCCGGCCTCATTTCTGCTCCCGAATCGTTCCGAATCGTGCTCCCGCTGCAGCGTGGGCCTCATTTTCGGATCGGTGTTTTGCCTCCGTCGTTCAGGATGGCGTTCTCGCCCCAGCGCGGGCCTCTTTCTCGCGCGCCCATCCGCCCGCCACCACCGCGCCGCACCACGCCCCGCCCCGCCGCACGCACACCCACCGCCACTTCCACCCACCAACGCACGCACGCACGCACGCGCACCACCACCGCGCACCGCCACCACCACCGCACTACCCCACCCACCACCACCACGCTACACCGCGTCACACCATATCACACGCGCGCACACACAGACACACACGCACGCACGCACGCACGCACGCACACGCACACGCACACGCACGCACGCACCGCACACACACACACACACACACACACACACACACACACACACACACACACACACACATACGCACACACACACACACACACGCACACACACACACACAGACAGACAGACAGACAGACAGACAGACAGACAGACAGACAGACAGACAGACAGACACACACACACACACACCACCACCGCCACCACCACCACCACCACCACCGCCATCACGCACGTACGCACCTGGCCCACCACCAAACCACTAAGACGCCACACCACGTCACACCACAGCACACGCGCACACAAGCAAACACACACACACATACACACCACCACCACAACAACCACAACCACGCACACACGCACGCACGCACGCGCACCACCACCCACTACGCACACGCGCGCGGAGCCACAGGTCCGCTACGACACGCGTCCGCGGATAGAGAAAATCAGCGCCATGGTAAGGGATGGGAGGGAGGGGTAGGATGTCAGATGTTGACGCGAGCGCACCTAACTTGCCCTTCCCCCCTCCCCCGTCCGCTCTCCCCCCCCGTCCCGCCCGCCCGCCCTCCCCTATCCGCCCTCCCCGGCCGCCCTCCTCCCCCGTCCGTCTTGCTCCCCCGTCCGCCCTCCCCGTCCGCACTTCCTTCGGGGGCGGCAAAGAGGGGTGTGATGACCAGGGGGGGGGGGGGATATCATGGCGGGGGCCATGATATTTCCTCAGATTTCGTGGCGCCTCTTCTTATTTCATTACGCCCCTGGCCCCCCCGCTGGGCCTCGCACATGCCGCCGGTCATGATTTGCACCCCCCCCTCTTGGACAGCCCCCTCTTTCTTGGCCGCTCCCGATTCCTCCCCGCGGCCTGTGAGGTGGGCACGGCCGCGGACGGCGGCCCGCAGTTCGAGGCGAGCCCCCCGCCGCCGGGCGGGCCCCCCTCGCGCACCGCCCGCGGGGCCTCTTGAAGGGGGGGGGGGTTCTGTTCGCCGCGGGGCCTGCCTCGGGGCGTGCTCGGGGGAGGGGGGAGGGAGGGGGGAGGGAGGGGGGAGATGGGAGGTGGGAGGAGAATGGGAGGTGAGGAAGGAGGAGGTGGAGGAGGAGGAGGAGGAGGAGGAGGAGGAGGAGGAGGAGGAGGAGGACAGGAGGAGGAGGAGGAGGAGGAGGAGGAGGAGGAGGACGGCGAGCGCGAGGGCAAGGAGGAGGAGGAGGCGATGGGAGGTGGAGCAGGAGGAGGTGACAGAGAAGGAGGATGAGACTGAGGGCGGAGCAGGAGGAGGAGGAGAAGGAGGAGAAGGAGGAGAAGGAGGAGGAAGAGGAGGGTCAGGAGGAGGATGGGTAGAAGGCGAAGGAGGAGGAGGGGGATGAGGAGGGAGATGACGGAAAAGAAGGAGATGGGTGAAGGGATGAGGATGAGGATGGGGATGAGGATGATAATGAGGAGGAGGAGGAGGAGGAGGAGGAGGAGGAGGAGGAGGAGGAGGAGGAGGAGGAGGAGGAGAAGGAGGAGGAGGAGGAAGGAGGAGGAGGAGGGGGAGGAGGGGGAGTCGGAAGATGGGGGGGGGGGCAGGAGGAGGGGAGGAGGAGGAAGGAGGAGGGAGGAGGGAGGAGGAGGAGGAGGAGGGGGGAGGAGCAGGGAGGAAGGAGGATGAGGATGGAAGGGACGGCAGGTGGCCTGGACCAGGAGGAAGGAGTCAGTGGAAGAGGAGGAGGACACGGTTCCCTCTCGAGCGCCCCCATTCGTTCAGCCCTCCCCTGAGGGCTGTATACCAACGGGACCCAGTTTGTGAATCTGTGTTGAGCATCCGCCTTTTGCCCCTCGAGGGCCAACCCCAGCACCAGCTGCCGCCGTCCGGTGAACTCCGCTGTTCGAAGCCAGGCTGGGTCTCTCGGGGCTTCCTTTTTGGGGCCCCTGGGGGGGCATCCTTTGGCTTCTTGAGGGCCTCTAGGGGGCCTGCTGGCGGTCTCGGGGGCGCTCTCGGGGCGGAGTGCGCGGAATGTCAATTCGAGTTCCCCCCGTTGGGTCCGTCTTAGGACCTTCTTGGGCAGTACAGTCGAGGCTGACTATGTGGTCGACCCTGCCGAATCAAGGGTTGCCCTCGTGTCCTGTGGTTCGTGACCCATGCCTTTACATGTCTATGGCAGTGTGGCCTTCGGAAGGGTCTCGTGTCCTCTCGCGTACCCTCCCAAATCAACCTCGACTGCATTGGGCGGTCTTCAATTTCATGTCTCGGGCCACGGTGGCAGATCGAGTGAAAGCGTCGGACACTCGCAGTCGTAGTCTGGTCGGTGTCTTACCGTCGCGTTGTTCTTACGGCAGGATCCTCACATTTCCGTCTCGCATTCGTATCTGTCAGGAGTCCATGACGCCCTCCCTCGCTAGCTCAGCCCCCCCACCTCTGAGTCTAAGTTGAGATCTTGCCTGCAATCACCATCTCGCCTTGCATGCGTACTTTCATCTCATTCGTGCAACTTGTTTCCCCAGTCTGTATCCCCCCTTCTGACCTCCATCTGGCCACTGGCCTGACCATTCGTCCACCCACTATTTTCTTCGCAAGGGGAGCTCGTAGAGTGAAAACTGGTTGGAGTAGTCATGCAGTCTTGTTGGATTCGCGTGTTGGGCTCGCGCGTCCACCCTGCGCCAGCGCTCGACGCGGTGCGCTTCTGGTGCCAGCTCCTCCCAGGAACAGCCTCTTGCTGGGACATTTCCTGCTGGGAGACGCCGCGCCGAGAAAAGCCCTGGAGAAGCCTGGCGCTGCCTGGGGGGAGGCCCTGCTGGGAAGACCTCGGCACCGCTCGGGACAAAAAACACGCCCTGCCGGGAAAAAATCCCCGCTGGGAGACGCCGTGCCGAGAAGAGCCCTGGAGAAGCCTGGCGCCGCCTGGGGGGAAGCCCTGCTGGGAAGACCCTGCTGGGAAGACCCTGCTGGGAAGCCCTGCTTGGGAAGACCCTCGGCACCGCTCGGGACAAAAAAAAAACAAATCGCCCTGGCTGGGAGATCGGCCCCCCGCGTCACACCTCCGGGGGGCCCTTGCGCCCTGCCGGGGAGAGTCGGCGCGGCCTAAGGCCAGGCTTCAGCCGGGCGTGTCCCCCTACAGGGGGACGTTCGACGAAACATAAAGAAAGACCCCAAAACATATTCCAACATGGTCAAAAGATCCTCTAAAGATAGTCCCCAGACTATTTTTGGATTATTTTTGAACATCCCCCCTGTATCAGGAGGAAAAGAAACACACAGACACAATTAATCCTGGATTTCCCAGAACCAGAACATATTGGAAAATATGGGAAGTGGGCGGGAAGACAGAAACCCAGAAAATATTCGAAAATATGGGGGGATTATTTTATTTGTGTGTATTTATTTGTGTGTCTCAGGGCCCCTTCACTGCAGAGGGACAGGCCCGACTGAAGGTCCAGGCCCCCAGTGCCTCGGCGAACTTCGGGGGGGGGGGGAGCGTGCTCCAGCGATCGGGCACGGTGTCCTCGGCCTGCCCGGGCTGCCCCCGGGCAGCCGAGCTCCAGCCGGGCACGTCCCTCCACGGGGGGAGTCTCGCCAAGAGTGGTTTGCACAGGTCGACTGGTGGCGACGTCTCGTGCTCTTGTGGTTACTGCTTGACGATTTGATGACTACGTCTTGTTTTCCTTCAAAAACCTGATCGGACAAGAACGGGAAGCGCCGCTGTAGTCCAATGGGCGTATTGGGCGAAGATGAAAAGGAAGGCGAGGACAACGAGGAGTCGATGACGAGGACGACGTGGCGAACGTGAGGCTAGCGAGGAGGAGCATGAGGACAACGAGGTGACTACGTTTTGTGTTCCTTCAAAAATCCGCCTGTCGGAGGACACGTCCGACCTAAAACCAAGGATGATGTGCGCCCAGGGCCCCCGCCGTTAGTTGACCAACGCACCCACTGCGAGCTGAAAAACGAGACCCGCCGCGAGTTGAAGGATGCCACCGGCAGTGCGCTGAAGGATGGAAGAGGGGATCTCGTTGAAAATAGGGCCCGCCAGGCCCGAGCAGGAGCCCACATGGTTTGTTTGTTTTTCATATCATTTTCCATGCCATTGGTCAGCCAGGTTCACACACTGGTTTTCACCTGCCCGGAGGGCGAACGTTTACACCGTGGCGGCCCAGCAGGCCGCGGCGGTGGGTCTTCCTCAGCTGAGGGGTGCAGGCAGCCTTACAGCGCGGCCCTGCAGGTTCCGTTCGCCGGATGTCTTTGAAGGGGCTCTGGAGAAGAACGGGCGCGCGGAAGTTGCCCCGCAACGGCTGCTCCAGGGGCGCCTATTCTCGGCAATGCCGCCGCACAGTCCAAGAACGCGACATGCGTTGAAGTACAGGAGGCGAACTTCAACGCCGAAGCCCGGCTTGGGAGACACCGCGTTTGGCCGCGCTGCTGCGAATCGACTTCCAAATCATTCCGTAGCCATTTTGGCTCAAGCCATTTTGGCTCAAGCCATTTTGGCTCAAGCCATGGCTGAATCAGTGGACATTGTAGCTCCGAGCTCCGCCGACATGTTCGTTATGGGTATTGTGGCTTTCGCAATCGAGGTATTATACGTGGTGCCGTACGGGTTGATGTCATCCTTTCGTCCCCTTTTTCTCGAGTCTTTCGGTTTGAGCAATCACGACGCTGGTAAGTTGTCGTCGGTGTATGGCATTGTCAGCATGTGTCTCTACCTTCCAGGAGGCTACGTCGCCGACCGCTTTCGACCGAAGTTGTTGATGGCTGGTGCGCTCTTGACAACGGCTGCATGTTGTTGCTACCTGCTCACGGGCCCTTCGTTCTCGGAGTTGATCCTCCTTTGGGCGATTCTGGCAGTTGTGGGCACTCTCCTGTTTTGGTCTGCCTTCGTATCGGTCATACGACAGATCGGCGGCGAGAACCATTCGGCAATTGCATTCGGCTTTGAGCAGTTCTCACGAGGCGCTGTATTAGCATTGATGACCTTGGCGTTGGCTGCTTGGATGCGCCGGGCGATGCCGGCCCAGGAAACAGCGACCGTTCATGATAAACAGGTGGTTTTGAAAATGTTGTTCAAGGGTTTGGCCGTGCTCAACGCTGGGATGGCCATCGTGATCATGCTCGTTCTCCCATCCGGGATGGCCGCGCAGGTTGATGAGCGTTCCGCTATAGATGGGAGAGGAGCCAGCACCATGTTTGACATTACTCGGCGGCCCGTGGTTTGGTTGCATGCGTTGATCGTGGTAGCGGCCTATTCAGGCAGTTTGGCGACCGACCAGTTCTCAGGATTGGCGAGGTACGGTTACGCTATGGATGTAGTGCAGGCCGCAGAGGTTAGCTCATTGGTTAAGGCGATGCGTGCTTGGTCTGGGCTCCTGGCTGGCGTGGCAGCTGATCGCTGGGGAAAATCCGGGGTCTGCTGCGGCCTGTTCTTGTCTTACAGCTGTGCTTACTCTTGGGTGGCCCTTGCGCCAGTCGATCCGAGTCACCTAGGCATGCTGATGGCTCAGATTGCGGCCTCATCGGCTAGTGTGTATGGAATTGCAGGGGTCTACTTCGCTCTTCTCGACGACGCGAAATTGCCCCTGGAGTTAACAGGCTCTGCAGTGGGCATGATCTCTGTCATCGGCTTTACCCCGGATGTCTTCATTGGCGTGATCTCGGGATATTGGCTGGACACCTACCCTGGCGCGAGAGGCTATCAGTACTTCTACTTCTGCATGGCATTCGTTGGGCTTTTTGGTCTTCTAGTGAACCTCGCTTTCGCCCTCGCCGTGGGGAAGTGCAGCGATGCGGGGTCTGCTCCTGTTATGGCTTCGGAACCCGCGGCTTCGCGGGCCGAAAGCAACACCTCTACCAAGTTCGAGGCCGCTTCTGTGCTGAAGGAGCACCCGCCAGTCCCGTTGTATGGGGGATGCGTTTTCATAGGCAAGCGGCAGCCAGCGTAGACTCGTTGCATGTTTAGCGAGCGTTTAATTCACGTCCCCCCGAGTCGTTTTTTTTATGGCGCGCATCAGGTAGACAGTGCCGGTGAAGCGACAGGCCACCGAGCATTCAGGCTGCCAGTCGTCTACACATGCCAGGATCACCGATCGAGAGGTATGCCAGTAATGACCAAGATCCGAAGGCCAGGCACGACGACCATGACCGCAGGGCCAATCTTCGCTCACAGACTGCTGGGACCCTGCGCGTGTGCGCCCTGACTTTGCCGTCCGCGAGCGGGGAAGAAGCCCCCCCCCTCCAACAAACGATCCGTTAAAAACCATGCGACTTGGATCGGCATCCGTGCAAGCCACACGTTTGTGGGGAGAAAAAAACACACACAGACACAATGAATCGTCGATTTCCCAAAACAAATATGGGAAAATATTGGAAGTGGGGGGAAGACAAAAACCCAGAAAGTATGGGACAATATTGGGAATCCCGTTATTTGTGTGTATTGTTTGTGTGTCCCAGGGCCCCTTCAGTTTGTCCAGCTGGTATCTCTGCCGCATCCGTCACGGTGGCTGTCGGGAGCCATGCCCTCGGACCCGGCGCTGCGCTCGGTGGCCTTTCGGGCGCGGCCTGGGCAGAGAGCATACTCTGGAGGCGTTACGCTACTGTCTGCCAGGACTCCATGTCGGAGGCTGGAACGTATACACTACCAGCGGCGGGCTGTTTTTGCATCCCAGGATTTTTCGAGGGTCGGGGACGACGTCGGGGTGGTGTGGTGTGTGTGTGTGTGTGTGTGTGTTTTTTTCCCCGCTTTCCCGTGGAAGCCACAAAACATGTATACACCAGGATGCCGTATACACCAGAATCCGCTTTCTTGTGCGAATCTCAGTGCGGGACCGGAAAAAGGCATCGGTGTATAGAGTTCGGTTCCTTACCATGTGTTCGTCCTTGGCAAGTTCAGCCCACCCCCCTCCATCCCTCAGCCATAGTCGAGACCTTTCATGGGCACGTAGTTCCATCTCATTCGTGCATCTCGCCGCCCCCCCCCCCCCGATGTGACCCACTCCCTCCCTGCCTGGCCTCCATCTGGCCACTGGGCCCGTCCACTCTTCAGCCAAATGGGTCAGCGCTTGCCTTCACCCAGTCCACCGCCTGCTGCGTGCAGTCTGATTCCTAATAATTTGATCGTCGCGATCCTGCTCATTGTGGGTACCTCTGCTGCACCCATGCCTGCCAGGCGAGAGTGGTGTTCGACACTGGTAGTACGAACCTGTGGGTGGCCTCCGTCCTCTGCCACACCTACCCGTGCCCGGCGGAAAACGAGAACAAGTTCTACGACCCGAAAAAGTCTACAACGCAGGACGTAACCGAGTGTCGCTCTGGTGTTGCTGTTTCGCTCTGTTTTGCCGCCTCCTCCTCAAGCTGGTTGGTTGCCTAAGCAGGAAGGCGCCACATCTGCCTTGATTTAATCTGATTTAGAGATCGCCGCCCCCCTCCGCACTCGTATTGCTTTTTGCTGGTGGGGGCGCCCGACCCGCAGGTGTGCGCGCCCTGCACTTTTCGCCTAAGCTTGGCGAGGTTCCATCCCGCCATCCTGCCTGCCTGTGCCTTGGACCACAGGCATCTTAGATGCCTCCTGCGGTCTCTTGGGGTACCTCTTGGATTGGAGGAGCCTTGAAGGCCTCCTTGGGGCTCTTCAGGGCCTCGTGAGGCCCTTGAGGCGTCGTGGGGGCTTTCTGGCGGTCTCGGGGGCTTGGGGGGCCAGGGTTCCAGGAGCCCCATCAAGTGCCCTGTCTTGGAGCCCTCTTAGACCCCTCCCGGTGGCCTGAAGTGTCCTACCTGGCTCCAGCAACAGTTTTCTGGAAACTCGCAAGAGGAAATGCGCGAACAGAAAGATTACATGTTGTGTTCGCGTGCTCCGCCCTCATCCCGAGACGATCCCATGATCATCCCAGGACCACAGAATTGTTCCAATAATGTTTCAGACCAGATGTTTCCGACGACCTCCAATCGAAGACGGCCCAGCATGCGAGAAACGAGTGACCCTGAAATGGCACGATGGACGAGCTCGAGGCACGCACGAGATGGCTCCAGAATGCCCCGACGACGTTCTCGTGATCCACTAACCATTCGGGATGGATGCGAACATCATCTCAAGATGACCTCAAGACGGCCCCAACACGGCAGGGGGTCTGCAACTTCTCGGCCCTGTCTTATTTCGGGCCGATGCAAGTCGGCGCGATCTCGGAGGGAGACGGGATTTGGGTTTGCACCTGGAGCTAAGCTTAGATTGTCAGAGCGGACGAAGTCCGGCAGGATCCCGCACAGCCCACGCGAGAAGGCCGTCGTGCCAGGCTTCAAGGCGGGGAGGGGTGCTCGGAAGGGGCGCCCTTTGCTCCCACAGCCTTCCACTGGCCTTCCGCCCCAGAGACCCCCCCAAGTCCAGGCGGCCCCGAGTAGTAGGTCGACCCTGCCAGATCAAGGGTACCCTCGTGTCCTGTGTCTCGCGACCCATGCCTCCTGCACTTCTGTGGCAGCGTGGCCCTGGGAAGGGTCTTGTGTCCTCTCGCGTGTCCTCTCCAACCAAGTCCGACCGTAGGGTGCAGGACGGCCCCTTGACACCACCCCAGCCCCTGGAAGGACCAATGGGGGCCCTCAGAAGCCCCGATGACGGCCCAAGAGGGCCCCCCGACCCGCCGAGCGGTTGCTCCAAGACGCCCGAGTTGGCATCGAGACTGCCCAGAAGGTTTCCAAGACGAGGAGGATTCCAAGAGCACCCCCGAGGCCCAAGAGAGCCCCGAGATGCCCAGATCGTGAATTGCTCATTGCGTCTACAGGTTTTTGGAGTTCTCGCTCTTTGTTTCTGGTTCCGACCTTTCAAGGCGGCCAAAGAGGCTTCGCAGATCACTCAAGACGCCGCGAAGAGGGTCCCAAGAAAGCCCAAGATGGCCCCCGAACCGGTTTGAGAGGGCTGCCACGGCAGCCCACGTGGCCCCCAAGGTGGCCCAGGAGAGGCGTGCGAAAGCGAAGGCGCACTGGGGCCAGGAGACGGACGGCCAAAGACCAGCCCAGCAGACACACGGCGCGGAAAAGCCGCCGTGCCCGTCGAGAGTGCCAGCCGAGGCCCTTGTGCGTCCAGGCGGCCGTCCGTGGAAGCCGTTGCTGCACCCGCTCCTCCGCCGCCGCCTCCTGCTCCACCTCGTCGCCTTTAGTTTTTTCTCAGAAAAAATACCAAATACCCCAAAAGTGATCAAAACATAGTCCAGAAATAGTATGGGCAGTATGTTTTGAGTATTTTCTGACCTTTTTGATGCATTTTGGGGGTATCCTCTTTTTTTCGTCGAACATCCCCCTGTAGGGGGACACGCCCGAGCTTCGACCACCAGAAAGAATTTCGAGCGCCAAAAAAGTACCGAAACTCAAGGGTTTTCACGCGTCGGGCCCTGGGAGACGCTCGCCCGACACCGTCTCGGCACTCCTTCGACACTCTTTCGACACTTCTCCGGGTGCTCGAAATTATTTCTGGGATGTGGTCCTGAAGTAGGATGGAAACTACATAAATCCAGAGGAGGAAGGCACCCAAGCGGCCCCCGGGGAAGCACCCCAACCCCTTCGTGGCGCGTTTTGTCACGACCCCGGCGTTTCACCGTGCGGCTTTCGCGTCTGGGCGCCCTCCTTCTCCTCCCCCCGCGCGGCCGCACTCTTCGTCGACTCGCCCTCGTGACACGCTGGACAATTTTTGCCTTTCGGTCGCCCCGATTCGCCCCACGCTGGTCTGGCCACGCGCAGAAGGAGGTAGGGGGAGGGGGGAAGGCTTCGTAGAAGCACCCCTGCTTCTTAGAAGGCGCGGGCCTTCTTTGTAGATGTAAGGCCGGCGCCTTCTAAGAGGCAGCCTCCTTCTAAGAAGCCTTCCTCCCTCCCCCTACCCCCTTGTGCGCCCCGCGCTGGTGCGGACTGCCTCTGCCTCGCCGCCGACGGCAGAAGAGTCTCGTCGTGCGGGCGTCGACTGTGCTCCCCACCCTCTTGGCATCGCTCGGGCGGGTGCATGATTTCCTTCGGCGAGGACCTTCGAGGAGCATCCTCGACCATCTGGCGACAAAAAAAAAGCACGCGCGAAGCCGAAAAGAAAGCACAGGGAGTGGACGTCCGAGCGAGGGCCAGCCCTCCGGCCGACCCCACCCCGGAGGGGCAGGGCCTCGCGCTCCGCTCCTCTCCCCCCGGGGGCTCCTTTCGGGGCGGGTCCCCCCCCGGGGGCGGCGCGGGGGGGGAGGGACGTGCCACCGCTCCGTGCAAAAGCTTGGCATCGCTCGGACGTGTGCACTTTTGCTCGGCGAGAAACCACGAGAACCATCCTCGACCATCTGGCGAAAAAAACACGCGCGAAGCCGAAACAAAAAACACAGGGAGTGGACAGGCGAGCGATGGCCAGCCCTCCGACCCCCCCACACCCCGGAGGGGCAGGGCCCCGCGCCCCGCTCCTCTCCCATGGGGGGCTCCTTTCGGGGTGGGTCACCCCTCGGGGGCGGGGGGGGGGGAGGGACGTGCCGCCGCTCCGTGCAAAAGCTTGGCATCGCTCGGACGTGTGCACTTTTTCTCGGCGAGCAACCACGAGGACCATCCTGGACCATCGAGCAACAAAACAAATTATCCTGGCAAAGCAACCTAACAGCGATGATGTGTAGGAGCATATCTGGAAGCATTCCCTTTAATATTCAGATGAGAATCCAGTTGCCCTGGACCATCGAGCACAAAAAAACACACGCACGAAACCGAACAATGTACGCGAGATGGACGTCCGAGCGACGGCAAGGAAGGTCCCGTCACCCCCTGGCGTCGCGAGTGCGACGCCAATCGGGGCTGGACAGACCTCCTACCCTGACACGTCGATTGAGGAATTGGCCGTTTTCGGTTCGCGAGAGGGCGTCGCGGCCGTCATGTTTGCGGGTCCAGGTCCGTCGATTTCGGTCCCAGGCGGTTTTCACCAAGGGGAGGTTTACTAAAGGGAGGCTTGTCCACCGCCGAGCCAAGGGGAGGAAAATATGGAAAAATATGGGAAGTGGGGTGGAAGACAGAAACCCAGGAAATATGGGAAAATATAGGGGGATCGTTTTATTTGTGTGTATTTCTTTGTGTGTCCCGGGGCCCCTTCAACCCCCTTGGGCGTCGCGAGTGCGACGCCCAAGGGGGGCAAGGCGGCCCGCCCACCCGTCTCTCCCCAGCCGTGGGGGGCGGGGCGGGGCCCCCCGTGGCCGGGGCGGGGTGGGCACCGAAGAGGGCAGCACGTGCCTTCTCGACGGCCGGAGATGGGGCGCCAGGGGCCTGCCGCCAGCTGCCGGAGGTGCACCGTGCAAGCCCTCCGTCGGGAGCCTGGAGACTCGGGCCGGACGAGAGGGGGGTAGTGCAGGGCTCGTTTCGATTCCTCCGATTCGATTCCATTCGACTTCGATGGATTCCTATTCCGATTCGATTCGATTTGGGCTTCCGATTTGGATTCCGATTTCTTATTGGAGGCATATTAGCCTGCCGATTTCCGCCGATTCGACTTTTCCCGATTCGGCTGCCGATTCCCGCCGATCCGATTCATGTCGATTGCCGATCCGATTTGTCGATTCGATTCTGGGCTCTCCTGGTAGTGGGAAAGGGGGGGTTACGAAATTTGCTGCATGCAGCTGGTTTCGGCCTCACCGAGCGGCCCATTCCCCGATACAGAGTCGCCTCGGGCGCCTCAGCTATACGTGAGCTGATTCTCAAGCCCCCCCTTTGCTATCCCCCCCTTTCGCCCGACCCGGGAGACGGGGGGTCAATGCAAACGGGGGTCAGCCAGAGCGCCAGATCTTGCAGGATCCTGCAGGGCCAGGCTCCCATTGACCCAGGTTTGGGCGCAGGATCCTGCAGGATCTTGCAGGATCCTTCGCATTGACCCGGGCTTGGGTGCAGGATCCTGCAGGATTTTGCAGGATTGTGCAAGGCCTGGCTGACCCGGGTCTGGATTGACCCCGGTCAGAAGATCCCCGACTCCGCTCTTCATGATTTCAGCGTGGTTACTAGTGAACTTGTTCCATTGGATACCCCAACGTGTCTTCAGGCACGGTGCCAGGATGGGTCGAAGGCCATAGACGCATACGCATACAGTCCTGCATCAACATGTCAAAGTGGGGGGCCGGACGGTCATTCATTCCCTCTCCCTGGGCGCGTGACCGAAATGAGGCTCTGAGGTGCGGATTGTTGTTGCTCGTTGGCTGTTGGTTGTTGTTTGTTCTCCATCCGACAGCTTAGGGCTGTTCGATCTCAAGACAGGGCCCCTCCGGCTAACCCCGCCCTGCAGACCGCGGCCGCCGGGCCCCAAGGTGTCCCGAGAAGCCCGGGTAGCCGGGGTGCCCCGCCTCGCGCCTGGCCCACCCCGCCCTGCATACCGCGGCCGCCAGACCCCAAAACGTCCCGAGAATCCCGAGTATCCTCCACTCGTTTAAAATAGATATCAGATGCCGACCTAGTTTAGCCGAGATCTAGTTTTACCGAGTCTAATTTTACCGAGCTGGGGCCTCAATATGGAGTATATGTCCCCAGGAACGCTGCTGAGAAGATGTTGTCGTTGCCATTTTTAACGAGCGGAGAGTATCCTGGGTGCCCCGCTTCGCGCACGGCCAACCGCACCCTGCATACCGCGGCCGCCAGACCCCAAGTTTTCCCGAGGATCCTCGGGAATCCCGGGTGTCCCGCCTCGCGCCCTCGACGAACAGGACAGAGCACAGCATGAGAGAACAGAGCATGACATAACGGAACAGAGCATGACATAACATGACATAACCTATCACATCAGTACCATGGGAAAGTAGAACATAAGATAACATCACATAGCATACCAGGGCAGATCATGACATAACATAAGACGGCATAACACAACATAACATCATACAACCCAGCATAACATAACACACCTGGACAAACCATACCATATCATGGCACACCATCACATAACATACCGTAACACGACAGCAGCTCAGAGCGACGACGAACACGACAGCACGAAACATGGCACAACAGAGCACGAGCACGACAGGCCATGGCAGAACACAACCCAGCAATGCCATGACTCATTAGAGCATACCAGAACATCACATAACATGCCAGAGCAGAGCATGCCATAAGAGAAGACACCACGACGCAACATAGCATAACACAGGCGAGCATACCATACCGCACCGTGGCATAGCATGCCATACCATGACCCAGCATCACGGAACACATCGTAACACGACAGCAGAGCACAGCGACGACCACAACGGCAGAGCACAACAGGACACACCACAGCATGTCAGAACGGGACACGAGCAAGGTAGAGCATGGCAGAACAGAACATGACAGTGCCATGGCACAAGAGGGGAGAACATAGCATCGCAGAACATACCACATCAGGACACGACAGAACAGAAGACGCCATAACACAACATCACAGACCATAGCCAGACATGACATAGCACACCTTGACAGACCATATCAGGCCAGGACACAGCATCACAGAGCACATCGCAATACGACAGCAGAGCATAGCGTCGACGAACACGAGAGAACACAAGATGATACAACATAACAGGACAGAACATGACACGAGCATGCCGTAACACGTCAAAACAGAAACTAGCAACGTTGTGACACAATGGTCATAACAGAACAATGCAGAACTCACCATATCAGAACATGACCGAGCTGAAGACGGCAGAGCACAGGTTAAGATAACAGAGCCGAGCAGCACAGAGCACCTTGACATAACAAACCATATCATGCCAAAGCATCACAGAACATATCATAACACGACAGCAGGGCATAGTGACACGCACTAACAGAGTAGGTCATATTAGTCTATTCGGAGCTGAACCGTCAACAAACATACGATCACAGACCATACCAGAGAAAAACATGACATAACATAACAAACCAGATCAAAACTTAACATAACAGAACCGATCATATCATATCACACCATGACAGAGCAGGTCAGACCATAGCATGACAGCATCACAGAACACATCATAACACGGCATCAACTCATAACGAAGCATGCTAGCAGAGCAGATCATGCTATGCTATATTGTGCAGAGCTGCATAACATTACATATCACACTACAACATAATCGGGCATAACATTTCACCCCGTAACAGAGTGACACAGAGCAAACCATACGATAATATGTCAAATCACGTGGTGGCCGAGATGATGACAACACAACAATGTCAACCATAAGAGAAGCATAACGTGACGAGGAACCTCCTAGCAGACGACGCATCGAGCGTCACAAGCGTCAGGACGTCACGCCGGCCCGTCAAGAACAGAACAGGACGTAATAGAGCAGAACGTGAAAGAACGTGACTACATGGAACACGGTTGAACCGATTTTGAACCTAAGAATGGCAGTTGTCGACCAATTAGGCGACCGCGCGCCGTCAGGAACAAACTCTTCAGTTTTCGGTGGGCATCGCAATAAGCATAATCATTGTTGTTTGTTGTCGCCGTGCCCCCCGCAACCCGGCCCGCTACCCACCCGCGACCCACCCGCGACTCACCTGGGACCCACTCGCGACCCACCCCACGACCCACCCACGACCCACCCACAACCCACCCCGTGCCCCGTCCGCGACCCACTCGCGACCCACCCGCGACCCGACCCGCGACCCACCCGCGACCCACCCGCGATCCACCCGCGAATCACCTGCGACCCCACCTGCGACCCATCAACATTGCTTTAACGAAGAAATCGGCGCTTGCGGCGGGCTTCTTCAGAGCTTCGCAGTCTGCCGACCTCCACGCACCCCCCTCACTCTTATCCACATTTGCGGGGTGCTACGTACATGCATAGTACATGCATAAAGGTGTGTATATATATATACATACATACATACATAGACATACCTATATTATATATTCACTTATATATGCATATCTAGATGTGTATATATATATATATATATATATATATATATATATCAAGCCGTGTTTGCTGCGCCCTGGCGGGCCTTCAGAGCCGCTCTAGTCCAGAGAGGGCGGGGAACGAGGAGCGTCGTTTTGGGCGGCGGCCCATTTTCGTGGCCTGTCGCTCGCGACGCCTCGCCGCCTCCTAGGGTGTCCTGGAGCGCCCCCCCCAGCCGCGAGGGGGGGCTGCCTGGGGGGCGTCCGCGGCTGAAGCCGTGGTGTTCCGAGGCGCCCCCCCCGGCCTCGAGACGTGGTCAAGGCGGGGTGCCCAGGGGGCGTCCAAGGTTGAAGCCGTGGTGTCCCGAGGCCCCCCCTGGCCCAGAGACTCCAGGCCTACCAGATGGGAGGTCAGAGAAGATAGGGTCGGTGGTTCGCGACGCATCGCCGATGCGGCTCGCTGTGGAGCCCGACTTTCTCCACGCCGAAGTCGCCGATGCATCGTCGATGCATCGCCGAGATATCGGCGATGCACTGCCGATGCGGCGCGACCCTCCGACCCCATCTACTCTGACTCCATCTGTGAGGCCTCTAGAGACGCGGTCAAGGTTGAAGCCGTGGTGTCCCGAGGCGCTTCCCCCGACCGCGAGACGCGGTCAAGGGAGGGCGCCCCGGGGGGCGCTCAAGATTGAAGCCGTCGTGTCCCAAGGACGCTCAAGGTTGAAGCTGTGGTGTCCTGGGCCGCCCGGCTGGCCGCGAGATCCGGTCAATAAGGGGGGTGGCCCGGGGAGTGCTCAAGGTTGACGCCGTGTTGTCCCGAGCACTCCCGCGGCCGCAAGACGCGGTCAAGAGGAGGTGCCTGGCAGGGTCTCAATGTTGAGACCGTGGTGTCTTGGACGCCTCCTCGGCCGCGGGACGCGGTCAAGGGTTGGAGCGTCCAGGGAATTGTGTCCTGAGGTGCCCTCTCACCACGTGTATCATATCGGCTGCGCCCATGCACCCAAAGGTATGACCCGTTCAGTTAATATACGCGTGCGTCCGTGTTTCGCCAAGTTCATGCCAGCTATGTATCTAGCGCGCCAGGTAGAGCCATGTATGTGATGCAATTGGTTCTGAATAACATGAAATCATGAACTCGACTGCTCTTGGAAATAGCCCACCCTCACACCCTCGACTTTATGGCAAAACACATACAGGCGGCGAGCGTAGTTATCTATCGGAACTTGCTCGCCAATCTCCAGTTGCGCAGGTGACGCGCGGACCCTGCTCATGCATGTCCATGACTCGGGTGGGCCGGTAATTACGGCGACTGCGACACCAGCGTCGACGACGATGATAATTGTGATGTTGGTTCCACTGACGACGAAGGTGACGACGTCGACGATGCCGATGATGACGACTGTGGTGATGACGGCGACGTCGATGGTGGGGACGACGACGTTGGCAATGATGAAGCTGGCGGTATGATATCGACGGTGTTGACAAGGAGAATGAGCAAGTGTGCGCGCAGAAATCTCAGTGCTCGACATACCTGTTACTGACAACCCATTTGGCTGCCGCCTGTATGTGGACAGCGCTGTGCTGAAAAGGTTCGAGAACAACCAAAACAATCATCTGGAAATGATTTCGCCGTGCGCAAGCGGACGCGCGCGCGTAGCCCCCATGGTATTATGCGAAACAGTTTGTGGATGCCCGATGGCTGTTGGATGGCTTCGACCAGCGCCCGCGTGCGGCCCGCATGGCCTACTTCGACAGCACGGCCAACGCACGTTGTTTGTCGCATGCGCTCGGCGAGGTGTGCGCGCAGATGCCCGAGAAGGGGCTTTCTCATGGGGAGCACATGGCTGAAAGTTTTGAGATGTGTTGGACGTGTTACAGGATGTGGCCCCCCACTGTGCTGGCAGGATGGGGATTGATACAACACGCACGTGTCAGCTCAGTGCAAGCGCACCGCATTGCATTCCTTCTTCAGATGTAGGCTGGGGGGTGGCGGCGATACCAGCACGGCAGGGATCAGATCCTTCGGTCTTTGCGATGAGCGATCGTTCAACCCCAGCTTCGGGGTGAAGGTAAAAGTCTACCTCTTTTCAGGGGCATGAGCAAGTGCGGTGCAAGTTAATGTGATTCAAGCTCAGTGGTGCGCCCGCGGGCGCCTGCCAGCCGAGAACCCCGCACCTTCCAGCCAGCACGGAGCGCCCACAGGCGCCCAGCAGGCGAACACTAAGATCACCAAGCCGGGTCTCATCTTCGAAGCAAGAGCCTCGTAGTGCAAGCACTGTTTTTGGACACAGTGGGCACTCGATCTGAACTGGGAGCGGTGCATTGAGTTTCCACTGCACGGAGCAGATTCTAAATGTGTGGCTCTCTTCTTTTGCTGCTGGAGCGTTCATAGACCGTTTCTCTATCCGTGCGCTCATCGCAGGAGGCCTTCACTGGCACTGACCTGACGAGGGATCCAGGCATGCTTAGTCGGCGGCTGTTGCTGTCGTCGCCGTTGCCTGAGCTACGGCCATCGCCGAAAAACATGGCGTCTGAAGAGATTAGGCCGAGGCGGGACAACTAGGCCGTGTGCACCGAATATATATATATATATATATGTATATATATATATATATATAGATATGTATTTATATATAGATATATAACCAATCGTTGATTTCAAATCTGAGTGACGCGGAACAGAGGCGGTCACGAATTGCGTTATTCTGCATTCGATTGCGGGGCGTCGAATAGATTGTGTCAGTTGCACGTTCTGCTCGTATTGTCGATGCTTGCATCTCTCCTTTGTCGACGCTGTTGGGTTTCACTGAGTTCCATTGCTTGGCCCTACATCGCGCGGACAACTGCCACCAATCTGCAAGGCATCAGTCTACTGAGCTCATGTGGATTGTCGTCGCGTCCTTAACAGATACACTGGGAATGTTGCCGGGCAGTTTTTCGCCTTGCCCAGGGTATTGGCTAGTGGCGCTCTCAAGTTACGCGGGCAGTCATGCGCATCAACCACCAGGAAGCGCAGAGGCGCCTAATGTGAATACGTGTGCGAGTTATGGACGTTGGAGACGTGTGGTGGGCGGGGAGCCACATGTGAACCCTGCCGCTTGGGCCCTCGGTGGGGCCCCTTGCGGGGCCACGAAACGTGTGAGGGGTGTGCCTACATGAGCGTGCGGTGGGCGGGGAGCCGCACGCGAACCCTGCGAGTGGGGCCTGCGGTGGAGCTCCCTATGGGGCCACGACACGAGCGAGAGGCATGCCGATATTGGCATGCGGTGGGCGGGGAGCCGCACGCATACCTTGCCATTAGGTCCTTCGGTGGAGCCTTCGTCTTGAAGAGACAACGCCCGGCGTCACCCCTTCCTGCGCGGGTCGATCCCCTCCCCAGGGCCGGCTTTCCACCGCGGACTATCGTTTGCGGGAGCCGCGGGGAGCCTGATGAAGTCAATGTTTCAAACATTTCTCAAGGGCCCGCCGAGAACCTAGGTTATCGGGTCTGCTCCCCCTCCCTCCACGTCCTTCCTGACCCTGTCGGTTGCGCAGATCCGAGTCGAATGCGCAGTATTGGCGCGCGCGGGCATACGTGGAGCTGCCCAAAGCGAAAAGGTTACGTTGTCGGCCAGCATCTCACCCCTCCCCCACAGATAACTTGGGTGCTCGCCGAAAGCAGTGTTCCGAGCGAAGGATTCAACACACATGCAGTTGTGAGTAACGCAGTTGTGAGTATCGTCGTCGGTGGAGCTCCCTATTGGGCCACGGAACGTGTGAGGGGTGTACCGAATTGGTTTGGGAGCCGCATGTGACCCCATCATTGGGGCCTTTGGTGGAGCTCCATATGAGGCCACGACGCGTTCGAGGGGTGTGCCGAAATAGACATGCGGTGGGCGAGGAGCCGCATGTGGACCCTGCCGCTGGGGTCTTCGGCGGCTCCCTCTGGGGTCACGAAAGAAGGAGTGAGGGGTGCACCCAACTGGTAGACTGCTGCGAGGAGGAGGAGGAGGAGGAGGAGGAGGAGGAGGAGGAGGAGGAGGAGGAGGAGGAGGAGGAGGAGGAGGAGTTGGAGGGAAAGCAGACGTAAGGAGGGTTGGGGGGGAAGGAGGAGCAGGGATGCTGACGCGGGGCACTGCCTCTTCAAATCGAGGACCCCACACCGCAGGATGGCCGGGAACAAAGCCAATCCTTCCGGGGCGCAGAAAGCCGCGGGACAGCGCCTCCAGCGCCTGCTCCGCGCGGTCGGAGGCTTCGGAGTGGGCCTTCCGTGCCGGCCCTCCTTGCTGGCGTCGTCGTCGTCGTCGTCGTCGTCGGTTGTCGTCGGTTGTCGTCGTCGTCGTCGTCGTCGTCGGTTGTCGTCGACGTCGTCGTCGTCGTCGTCGACGGCGGCGGCGGCGGCGGCGGCGGCGGCGGTGGTTCAGGAGGGGAAAAAACACAGACACAATTAATCGTCGATTCCCCAGAAAATATGGGAAAATATGGGAAGTGGGGGGGAAGACAAAAACCCAGAAAGTATGGGAAAATATGGGGAATCTTTTTATTTGTGTGTATTTGTTTGTGTGTCCCAGGGCCCCTTCAGTGGTCGTCGTCGTTTTCCATTTGCTGGCGCGTCGGAAAGGCGCGGACATCGATATCATGTTCGGCACCGGGGAGCTGCGCGGGCCTCTGCACGTCGACACGTACAGGCGTCAGCGGCTTTCCCATCTGCCGCTGCTCCTCCTCCTCCTCCTCCTCCTCCTCCTCCTCCTCCTCACGCTCGCCGCCCTCGCGTCTCTTCCTCTTCACCCTCCCCCCCTCCTCGCCCTCGCCTCTCTCCCTCCTCCCTCCCTCGTTCTTGCTCCTGGTCAATCTCCAGGTCTCGAGCTGGCATTCTCAATCTCATGTGGTCGATCATGGACCCCTTGCGAGCCGCAACTATCGAGCCGCTGGACACTGCCAAGGACCGCCGGAAACCGAGGTAGAATGTTAGAAGACCGCCAGAGACCGCCGAAGACCGCCAGACGACCGCCGAAGACCACCGAAGACCGCCCCGGGCTGGTGGGAAACAAGGGGTCCGTCGTCGCATGCGCAACATTCCCTTCCTCCTCTTCCTCCTCCTCCTGCTCCTCCTCGCTCCCTCTCTCCAGCCGCGCCATCCACGAGCCTGGGGCGGCTGGACCTCGAGCTTCCGAATCTCTCTGGCTCCTGCCCGAGCTGTCCGGGGCGATCCGTAGACGCCTTGGCTCGGCCAGGCCACCCCCGGGCATCCCCAGCAGCAGTGGTGAACGAAGCCTTCGTCATCCGTACGCTGCAGAAGGATGGAGAGGTGGACAGGGGGGAGGAGGTGGAATGAAGCCATTTTACACGTGAGTTGACCTTGCGCTTCTTCAAAAACAGGCACATCCCACGCTCGAGCTCTCGAGTAGAGAAGCATGGCCCGCACGACTTCCTCGAGAAATGAGTTTGCAACCCAGCTCCGTCAGCTGGAAGAGAACTGTCACGCTTGCACCATCCTCGCCCTCCTACCCCGACCCCTCCCAGAAGAGGAGGGCGATGAGTGGCAAGCTTGATTTCACAATCGCCCTGCTTGGAAACGGAGCCCACGGATGCGTTCTGGCTTCGGGAAGAGACCGTGTGTTCATACCGTCCTGTCTGGTCCACACGTGTTCTTTTAATTGCTTCGCTTCGTTTCGACGTTGCCCGCAAGATATGTGCAGTCGTCACCCGTCTCCGTCTCTCTTTGCAGTCAGATCCGCCCGACCGTCTTGCAAGTTCATTCCCGTTATCCTTGGCATCGCTCGGCCGTGTGCGTTTTTTTCCTCGGCGAGGACCATCGAGGAGCATCCTTGATCATTTGGCGAAGCAACCACGCACGAAGCCGAAAAAAACACAGGGAATGGACGTCCGAGCGATGGCCAGTATCTGATGTCGCATGTCCAGGCTTCTCCGAGCTCTCGCTGGGCCGCTCTGCAGCTGAGGGGTCCCGTTCGGGCCATGCCCTGCCGTGATTTCAGCGCCGTGGACCGCCGGCGACGGCCTCTGACCCAGGTGGGGAAAAAACATACACAGACACAATCAATCGTCGATTCCCCTGGAAATATGGGAAAATATGGGAATTGGAGGGGAAGACAGAAACCCAGAAACACTATGGGAAAATATGGGGGAAATCCTGTTACTTGTGTCTGTTTGTTTGTGTGTCCCAGGGCCCCCTTCCTCTAGCCCAGGTGGCCAAGTTGATCCGCGCCCCAGTCGAGCCTTCTCGGCCCCACCTCCTCCTCCTCCTCCTCCTCCTCCTCCTCCCTCCTCCTCCTCCTCCTCCTCCTCCTCCTCCTCCTGCTCCTCCTCCTCCTCCTGCCCGACTCCCTCGCGCCGCCGCCCGCGGCGCGATGCCTCGTGGCTCGCGGCGGCCCTGCGGCCTCGTGCAGCAGCAAAAAGCGCTCCTCCAGGGTCGGCCCCCTGAGGGTGAAGCAGCAGCCGTTCGCCATGATCCGGGAGATGAACGGAGAGGCCGCGGCAGCGTTGCTCTCGGCATGTACTCGTTCTTCTCGACCGATTCGTGAAGGGGCGAATTGGTTCCGAATTTGGTCCAAATCTGGTCCCAAACACTTTCCAAATCCAACCAAAAGCAGGCTCAAGTCGGACAGCGCCGAGGACCACGACGCAGGCTCCCATGGAAAAGATCAAAATGACCACTGCCTGGGGGATCGACCTTCGTTCACCTTGGCAGGTCTAGGATATGCAGATATTCTGGCCCCCCGCTCGCCATGGGATCTCACGACGTCGGTTTCCCAGGCAGTGGTTACGTACTCCAGATTTCGTAAATAAAGGGAGGGGGGTCTCATTTCGGGGGGGGGTCTCTTCCAGGCCATCTCGGAGGGCCTGGGGGGTCTGGGGACGAGGTTTGGCAGGGTTCTCCCACGGGGGAGGTCAGAAATGGCTTGTCTTGGAGGGTCCAGACCCCCTCCCTTTTATTACGAAATCTGGAGTAACGGGCACGCCTTTGCTCCGCAGGCGTGAAAGGAACGCCCATGTGTTTCCTGGGGCGGCCTTGGAAGTGCGCGAGCGATTGTGAGAGAGGAGGGGGAGAGAGAGAGAGAGAGAGAGAGAGAGAGAGAGGCAGAGAGGAAGCAGAGGGGTAAAGAGACAAAACAGCGAAAGAGAAACCCAGAGAGAGAGAGAGAAGGAACAAAGCATCGAGGAGTACGTGTATGACCTGCGTCGGGAGTCCTTCGTCTCGCCACGCCCAGCGCCGGAAAAAAAAACGCTGCGAAGACAGGGCGGCGACAGCTGAGATCGCTTCCTCCCTCCCTTCCCCTGCCCTCCCGCACTCCTCGGCGGTTGCCAGAGGTGTGCCTGCCCTCGCAGGCCTCGAGTTTGACACCAACACCAATATCGGCGGCATGCCTCCACCGAGGGAAGAAGATCCCGGTCTCGGTGATGGTGGTAAGACTCTGGCTTCAAGGTGGCCGAATTATTACCACCGACACCGAAGTCTAGCATCGTCGTCCCCCTGTGGAGGCAACCCCCTGTCTTGGTGTTGGTGCCAATTTCCAGGCCTCCAATAGGGGAACAACAAGTGAAATAAACGTAAAATCCAGGAGGTCCGCGCGGATTTCTCGAATCGGCGTTGAGGAGGAGGAGGGGAGCCAATGAGCAGGGCGGGGAGCAGCAGGAGGAGGGGCACGGCGAGCAGCGGAGAGCGCCATCAGGTCTTCGCCGCGTTCCCCTTCGAGGGCATCCTGGGCCTCGCGTTCAAGGCTCCCGCCGCCGTCCCACCCTGCCGCCGCTCGCCGAGCTCCTGCTGCTCGCTCGCGTGAGAGACTACCTGGCCGCCCACCTCCCCTTCCGTCGCCATGAAAGACAGGTGATCGTTGTCTTAGTCATTGTTTTGCCGATCGGCGCGGGCCCTCGCACCGTCTCCCCCCCTCCCATGGAGTGGATCTTGGCTGTGTTTGGCGCCTGTTTCAAGCAGGTGGAGTCTCCCCCATAGGATGCACTGTTGTAAACAGTCGCACGAAGCAGAGGTCTGGAGCCAGACCCGCCCCCCCCCTCCGCCCAATGTCGAAACGCCGAATCTGAAAACGCTCAACCCGAACACGGGTCCTGAGGGAAACGTGTCCCACAGTGGAGGCCCATGCCAAGGAACACCATGCTTGCCTCCAGGTTGCCCTGGGTTTCTCTGTTTTCGATGGTTTTTCGATGGAAAGCGCAACGTTTTCCACACCAAAAATCATCGGGCCTCCTGGGGTCTCAGGGTTGGGCTTCTTGTGGAAGGTTTCTTGTGGACTGGCCTCCACTATAGGCCTCGGAGCTCTCCGCAGGGCCAGCTCTCGCCTGGAGGCGTCCTGGGCCCAGGAGGACGAGGAGGAGGAGGAGGAGGAGGAGGAGGAGGAGGAGGAGGAGGAGGAG